GGCGCAATATGGTTCATGGGGTCATGAAGAGTCGGACACGACTTAACGACTGAACAACAAATGTATCTTTCTATAGCTGAGTATAAACAAGCAGACACTTCTTTATCACATTGATCAAATCTTGCCATATCTCAAAAAGGAATAGGATTGGGCTGTCATGTTCAAAGGTGTAACAAATAGGTTAATTTTTCCTTTGTCACCAGATACCAAAGCTTTTATCTAAGAATAAAATTCCCTGCCTCCTATTTTTGGATATCATCATTCCAGCTGCCACCATTTGTTATACCTTTGAACATGACAGCCCAATCCTATTCCTTTTTGAGATATGGCAAGATTTGATCAATGTGATAAAGAAGTGTCTGCTTGTTTATACTCAGCTACAGAAAGATACATGCTCTTTATCAACAGCTCTTTAGAGTTTACTTTCTGGAAATACTAAACTCCAGAAGTTTCTAGTCCTCTGACATAGTCACTACAGATGAAATATTTGTTCCTCTCTCATTACAGTTACAAAACAGCCTCCTTTGACCTTGAATAGGATATTTAGTCGTTTTTGAAAACAGCCTGTTTCATGTCCTAAATAGCAGTTTTGGACTTAAAAGTAGGTTTCACCCCAAAATAAAGCATACTATGTTCAAGATGCTTGTGGCAATTACCCTAAGTTAAATGAAACTGCACAATATATTTAAAAATTAACCAATGCAACAATTGTTCAGCCTGAAGGCAAAGTGCCTCTTTTATCCTGATGGCACGGCTCAGTAGAAGAGGGAGGCAGTGCCAGAAATTTTATTGCTTCCCTGCAAAGATTCAGTTCACACTCGGGTTTTTTTTTAAGTCTCAATGTTTCCATTTAAAAGTTCTGGATTCTGAAACAACAGAACAGTACATTTGGATTGGATTGTTTTTGCAATGCATGCAACAGCTAAAAGATACTAATTTACCATAGATAATAAAGCCCAACATAATATAATTTATTATTACCCAGTCACCTTATTTGGTTAAGGAGAGAAACAAGCTTGTGCAGAGCAAAGCTGTATCATCTCCCCAATTTACTTGAATGGCCATGGTCTACATGTAGCCACCAAAAACATTCTTGGATAGTAATGATGGCAAACAACAAGAATGCAATGCTTTGTTTGGGAGTGTACCCACCAACCCAGGAACCACAAAGGTAAAACAGAAAGGTATCCCAGGGTGGCAAGGGGTGATAGAGACAAGGAGGGGCAAAGAACACCCAGGCCAGTTTTCTTTCTAGTAAAGAATATACGTAGCTCAAAGTTGAACTACTGGTGTTCTCTGAGTTAGACTGTTTTCCTCCAGATGTTTCGTTACCAGTGATGATTATCACCTAGCCTGGTAATGAAACAA